TCCATAAAATTAGCCGAATTTAACCAGAAAGCGGGTTTAGCTTTGATGGACATAAATAAAAGTGCTTTTAATTAAATATCCCGGAAAAAATTCGGGTACTGAGTCAAATCAAATCCTGGGGCGTTCATGATAACCACACTTGGTTAACCGAAAACTACTGTCAGACTTTTGACAGCATTTAAATTCCTTTTTGCCTGCACGCACCAGCATCACTGATTTTGGCTCTAATAACCAAAACTCGACCACACAACCAGTTGAGAAGAACGGTCTGCACACGTTTAGCATCCCACCTAGGGGATGACAGCATAGCGTCAATCCTGTCGGCAAATTCGTTCCCTCAAACGCTAACTTCAATTATCCCCATTATTCTCACATTTCTAGTGATTTTTTGCTGTGTTACACTTTTTTTGGCTAACAAATGCACCATTATTTTCAGCGGGAACACTACTTACAAGATTACAGAAAACTTTGAATAGTTGAAGAATATCATAAACCGGGGACTCATCTTGGTTTCCGGTGAGTAACCGTGTAGACCAAATTGATATGCAAATGAATAACTTTCTCAGAACTAATGTTTTGTCTAGCGTAATACCTAGTAATTACGTTTGATAGTAAATGGAAAAAAAAACAATAATCTCACCGGATCCTCAGAGAGTTTTTGCGTGTCTGTTATTCAAAATAGTAGAATTTTATGTGCCATAATGGATATAGGCGGACGCCTAGAAGGGCAATACATTTGTGTTAAATATATTACATTCCAGATACTAGTGTAAACGACAAAACATACATTGCGTTTTGTTTAACGTCTTGAAACTCTGTGTGATCTGTCAGCGATATGTACAGCCGACACATCCGCCCATCAAACTTTTGGCATAATATACTGAACGCAGCTCAAGTTATGCTTGTGTTGTAACCTAAACGTTGCGACTTATTCATTATTTCTACAAAATGGTGTTTTCCAGCCATGAGGATAAAAACAACCAGCTTTTAGATGGAAAGATTATTTAGCTTTTTTGGGAAAATGGCTGTCCCTCAGAAGTTTCTTCGTAATATACCCAATATTGTTTTATCTTTTACACTGCTCAGTAATTGCACAAAGAAATTGATTTCTCGAAAGCTAATAGTACAGAATGTCTATGTATAATGTATATGTTCACATATTTTTGCAAATCATTTACTATGTGACATGTTTAAGTGTGCAAATCTTCAAGGTCAGTAAACACAACCGACCGAATACGTTGCCTAATGCTATAAGAAATCGAGAATTTTTGAAAACGTTGACGCAGTTACAATAGACGGAAATTTCGGATAGTTTTCCGGCTGAAATATTTCCCTGCATGCAAAACATGAGGAGTTGCATTCCTGCAGGAAACTTTTGCTCGATAACTGTTGCTATCAGTTAAAATTCCGTAGTCCACATTCATTACTGGTCTCAACTTTGGGGTTTTGCGGCATAGGTATGTTGTTCATAGCCACACCACTCTCGTTTGAACGGCCGTGTTCCTGTTCTTGCGTCATTATTCCGGTGAGTCCACAAAAAAGGGAAGCACTGGACGCGAGCTTCTCTCTTATTAGCGCTGAAAGCGTTACCGTATCCTGCTGCACTTGATGTATTTTTTGCTGTGTTCGGGATTCATCCAACTGTCGAACTGATCTCTTGAGTTTCATCTCATTTGCGGTTTAGCAGCTCTGGTGGTTTAGCTGTCGTGCTGCTAATACTGGCACTACCTTGGGCCACCGAGTTGAAGGCTTCTGGTTGAGTGATTAGCCGTTGGTAGTCATTGCGGTTTAGCAGCTCTGGTGGTTTAGCTCTTGTGCTGCTAATATTGGCACTACCTTGGGCCACCGAGTTGAAAGCTTCTGGTTGAGTGATTAGCGGTTGGTAGTCGCATTTTGGTGGTTCATTTGTAAACCTCTGTGAAGTCACTGTATAAAAGCACTGAAAATCCTTGCCTGTCCATTTTATGCTCAAACAAACTGAAGCTCTGAGACCCTGAAAGATAGTTTATACGATGTCTGGTTGTGGTGCAATAACAAATTATTTCTCAAGCACGTAGATGATGCTCAACCGAGTAGTTTTCTGGACTAGACTTTGGACGGAAGAGCAACAGCAAACGGCTGATGCAATAAAGCCCTGAACACAGACCATTTCTGTGCAGTATTATGTTCTGAAACAACCTGAGCCGCTTGACTGCATGTTGACCCAATTACGAGCTTGGTTACAACAGTGATAAACAACACCGCCATTAGCTATAGGTGGTGGGGGGTCAGCTATTGACCGTCACCCATTCTTGAGTACTTATGTTGATTTATGTCATGCACTTGTTACCTTATGCTTATCGTTTCGCATTCCCGAAGTGCGCAAGATACGTGCAACTCGGCTGATCAGAGAGAAGCTCTCGGACGACAGACAACTATGTCGGTCCATGTATCTTTTGGAACTTAGGTCTTCTGATGAAGGCTCCCATCGTAACGCACCGTACATAAGTATGCAAGTATGCAAGATGTCAGGCGTTCCTTTTGCAGAATGGATTAATTAACTAAATACGAGCATTGGATCTCTAGCAGCACTAAATCTGCTTGAAGCCTTGATACTCTTTCATCGTGGTTGAGGGTATAATATGCTTCGCAAGACTCCAGACGTCGAGCGAGGAGAAGAGAGAAATAAAAAACTCAGGGAGTGCGTGTTAACTGTTTTAAATCACACGCGAAATGTACCCATGGAAAGCTCTAGCTTACCAGATAAACGCTGACAAAAGATGCTCACTTATGCCTAGAATAGAATACCTGAATCTTCAAGTTGGACAATTCAATTGGTCACCTCAGGTTTCATCTGGATGCATTACCCGCAACGGGCCAGTAACAGTAAAAATTTCACCTCTGACGGTTTTGGAAGTCGACAAAACTTTTGGTGCTGACAAGCAACTATTACCCACGTTAAGAGGTAGAGGTGAAATCGTCAAAAGATGCTTTCACAACATAGTTCATCCTTTCTAGACGAAGAGTAATGTTTCATCCAACCGAACTAGCTTGATGGTTTTGGACATTTTTACAGTGAGCGCTTGTAGTTAATAGCAGTTACAGAGGAATCATTTTAACTTGCCACCAGACTCTTTGCATCCCTTATCATTTGTCGTCATATGGGTGCGTGTAAAGATGAAACCAGAGAACGGCAAGTAGGCCATGCTTTTACTCCGTAAATTGTCGGAGCAATGCATACGGGCGGAAGGATATCCGTTGATTCCATGAGTGTTTATAATTCCACCAACCACAAAAATGTATGCACCAGAGGTTTTCATTATCATACACTCTTTGTGCGTACAACATTTTAGGGCCCCAGAGTATGTGAGGACTTCGCCGAACGTTTCCTTTGAAGCACTGGTACCCGAAGAGTGCATCCAATCTCGCTAATGATTAGCTAAGAAGTTGAAATTTATAGGTTCCTCAAATCCCAGTGATAAAATCTACCCGAGTAAGCACCTTGTCTATCTGGCACATGCGAGCGACACTTATCTGCTTTTTCAAGAAGAACAGAAAGCACAAATATTACTAGTGATACTGACCAGGATTATCCAGGCTTTCGGTTTGTGCTTCGAGCCCACGAATTGCAGTGTGATGCTACGGAACGTGAGGTATTTGA